GCGCAACGCTGATTATCACAAATGAATTGTGACCATCTCCTCATTCCTACAGCTTTTCCACGTTAAGATCGGTAACTTGGTAGTAACATTCTCGAGGAAGAACATGCAATTTTAAGCTAACAATAAGTATTAGATTTATCTCTGGTTTGATAGTTGCCGTACGAACAACAACTACCATGAGCTACATCAATCATCAAACATTTAATATTCTTCTGAATGAAAGCTTGACAAACTGGAGATCTACGTAAATTCCTATTAAACTTTAAGATGAAAAAGATCTTTTGGTTTCTTTTTGGGCTAAAATCCATGGCTCCAAATTTACATGTCAAACGAGGGAGGGGGGGGGGTGCGGTCTATATACCGAGCGAACCATCTTGTCCTTATGCATAGAGAACCTAAACACTGGTAACGTATGTTTGCAATTCGGTCCATGAGCTTGGCTTCTCGCTCTATGAATTTTGTGCCAGACAAACATACACACAAAAGCAGTCGTTAAAGCGCGTTATCACAGTTAAATTTTCCCCCAGTCTTTGTCTGTCTTCTATACATAGAAAGTGGAAACTCGAAACTTCCACCTTAGGGGAAAGAGTTTTCCTGCATGGCTTGGTCTTTTAAAAAGGGAAACTGAGCAGCAACCAAGCAGCAAAATTCAGAGCTGGCGTCGCTCCACGTTCACGTGCTGATCTTTGGCTGCCACAGCAGCGTCACCTCCCCACTTGCAATATTTTCACCACTTCTCACTAAGATACCAATGATCGTTTCTTCTAGCTTAAAACGATGACATTCACACTTTCGACGACAACTATTCCTAAAAGTTGCTTCACTTTAGACCCATTTTTCATCCCTTTTTGAGGGAATTTCACAATTCAACAGCATTCATATCAGTTTGTCTTCTTATTTCTATCTCTACCATTTCCTGCCTGCTATCCTCAATAATCGCCAATATGAGCGTTGTTGGCGCAATCACCGACCTAGGCCCCGGACAGACTTCACGCGATTTGACCGTCGCGACTCAATCGCCGACATTTCCATTCATTTTCATTTCACATTCAAAAATTTCGGGCTGGAAAAGTATCACAAGCGAAATGCAAGCTGATCGGCATGGAAAGATGTTGTAACAGTTGTCTCGTCGCGATTCAGTCGCGACGATCAAATCGCGTGAAGTCTGTCCGGGGCCTTAGGCGGAGTAAAGCAGGCTGAGAGAGTGGACACTTCGACCAGATCAGCTGTTGGAGAAGAAGGTGTCATGCTATGTTTGCTCGAAAAACAAAATTTGAGTTGAAAAGTTTCACAAAGGAAGGGAAAGAAGCCAAGCCCATGGACGAAATGCAAACATAGCTTACCAGTATTTAGGTTCCCTATGCACAAGGACAAGACGGTTCGCTCGGTATAGACTGCAGTGTCGCAAATCGTTTTACGTGCAAATTTGGAGCCATAGATTGTAGCCCGAAAAGAAACAAAAGATCTTTTTCCCCATAAAATTTAGTAGGAATTTACGTAGATTTCCAATTTGTCAAGCTTTCATTCAGAAAAATACAAAGATTTTTATCATTAATGTAGCTCATGGTAGTTATTATCCGTACCAACTATCAAGCCAAAGATAAATCTAGTACTTATTGTTAGCTTAAATTTGCATTGTTCTTCCTCGAAAATGTTACCACAAAGTAACTGATTTACACGGAAAAGCTGTGGGAGTGAGTAGATTTCACAATTCATCTGTGGTGATCAGCGTTGCGCGGTGATTTTTAAAGTCATCATTATGCGAGCGCGGAAAGCATACGGATAGTAGAACCATTGCGAGTCTTGCGAAGCAGTATGACGCACTGGGCTATAAACTGCGAAATTAATTATGTGATTAGAAGGTATGACAGTTTTTTTTGAGGAGAATAAAATCAAAATTTGATTTCAAATGAAAAACTTTTGTGAGTGGAGAGCACACTCAAAGTTAGCGTCTAGGAAAATTCGGACATATGGAATGAGTGGAAACTTATATTGTGAGCTTAACTAAGACACTGCCCAAGCGGCAGCGCAGATGGAGCACTCGCGGCTGTGATATTCGTTCCCAACCCAGAGACAACGTATTTGGCGGACGACTTAAATCGTGTTGCCTGCTATGCCTCGCGCAAAACCCGGAAGTCGGCAATTCGTCGACTATAGGGTAGTGGTAGGTGTCTGGATGCCCTCTTCAACTTTTTTGTAATCCTAATGGTGGCCAATTTTTTAGTCTACACAAGTTTTTTATAATGTTACAACAACCACGATTGCAAACCCTCTCTTCAAAGTTAGAGCCCGAACGACTGAGTAACCCCTAGGGTAGAAAGCGCGCTCTAATCAAACAATCTTCGCATGAGGAAATCATAAAAGTTGGAGTGACCATAGGTAAAGGGCCGGGCATACTTCACGCGATTTGGCAATTCGCCAGAAGTCTTCAGATCTAACACTAGAAAGCTGCACATGCATAGTGTGTATAACTTGCGGGGATTGATTAAATCCCTATCTTCTGTGCATTTAAAATGTGCTTACGACGAGTTATGGAAAGTTGGAATATTGCCAAATCGCGTCGCGACTGAAATCGCGTGAAGTATGCCCTGTCCTTATTTTGTTTAGTAGGTGTCCATTTGCCACCACTGACCCTGATCCTACCGCGAAAAAATGATGTAGCACTAGCAGTTCCAAGAGAAGATTGCTCGACCAGCACACGATAGGATATTTCGTAATTGGCTCCGCTATCTTGACATAGATGAAAAAGATTACACCTTAGGCCTCGGGCAGAATTCATGCGATTTGGTCGCGATTGATCGCGACAAGACAACTGTAACAACATCATTGCATGCCGATATTCTTGCATTTCGGTTGTGATAGTTTTCCAACACGATAATCGTGATTAACTATCACAACCGAAATACGAGAAGATCGGCATGCAATGAATTCGTAACACGTCTAATTCACTTTTTTGAAGCTAATTTTGAGGACCGTGTAAGACAGTTCTGAAGAGTAATATGAACAGGTTGAACAATGTGTATTTCATCGTGCCTGTCATGCGAAAAAGGACTAACGAGACTAGAGAGGGTTCAAGGAGGCGGGCGGGACACCCGGAGAGGGGGTAGGGGAACGGAAGCCGCCAGTTTGAGCCGCCTTTCGCAGCTAATTGGTCCTTTCGCAAAGTTGTTGCATGTCGTCCCAGGACCAGCAGTCCGCGCAGGCGACTGAAGCTGGCGGCTTTCGTTCCCCTACCCCCGGAGAGGCGGTCCGCAAACAGCCCTAATTCGCCGATTTCCTTCTATAGCTAGTGGTTAGAGAGCTAGTTCGCGCAGTAATTCCAACTCAAGGCGGAAATACTATTCAGACAAAAAAGTTTAACCCTTTCGGACCTGGTGGTGGCAATTGCCACCATCAATTCAGGGACTTGCTGTGCTGGCGCAAGAGCATAATTTTGATACTCAATGTTACAGATCTGCTCAGATAGCCTTTGCCTTTCAAGTATTGTTTTGAAACCGCGTTTTCGTTTGTTTCCCTGTCAGCAAAACAAGTATTTCTATAAACAAGTGACTTGCAAACGATCAATAACTTGCTCCGGCGTCAGCACTGTGTCAGTAATCTCATTCATGCCAATAAATTTCCTCGATGTTATCAATAAATTAGAACGATGTTGTACACGTGTAGTCACTAACAGTTTGCCGCTCCACATGTATCGAAAAAAATTTGCAAAATAAAAATAAACGCAAAACAAAGAAATCAAAAAAAAAAACAGTAAGAAACAGAATGGATGTCGGAAAGGCTCCAAACTCCGTTGTAATGTTTTCATATGCTAGTAAGTAAAAAGCGATAGGAATGAGGTTTTTCTTGTTCCAGGAAAGGATCTCCGAAAGGGGTAAATCTGCTCTAAAGCTGCCTTTCTCGACGAAAGCTATCGATCTGATTTAGGGCCTTGATTGAACTCTTCTCGTAGTATAAGCTAGCTGGCGGTTCCAAGTCTCTTTCAATTGTGTGCTTTTCAGCTAACAGAAGGTCCGCTGATATCCCAGTTTAACGCTGCCTAGCTAGGCAGTTGCTATCCAGACTCTTTCTGTGAGGCCTGAAAACGGTTAGGGCTCTCTCATTCAAATTGCTAACAAGGGAATGGTCAGAAATCGAAGTGGCCATTCCAGACAAGCTGCGTAGCGTTAGATGCAGCATGAAGCGCTGACTCTAAATCTGTCTTCTTCATCTGCTTATCTCTTTTCTGGACGAAGTTATAAGCCTTTAAAGACCATTATTTTGCTTAGAAATTATGCGTGAAATTGAAATTTAGCCGTACAGAGCCTCGTTCGCCTCAATGCTGGGCCAAAACATGCAGCTAGCTTACTTAAAATTTTTGAAGCCAGAAGCCGAGCTAAAAGTGCAACAACGTGCTAAATTTCGCTGTTTTTATGTACGATTTTTTCACAATAAAACCGCTTGTAGCTTCGTCCATAGAAGCGGGAAGCAGATAAGGAAGACAGATTCGAAGTCAGCGTTTTATACTGCATCGAATTATATACAGCTTGTTTGGTTTGGCCACTTCGACTTCTGACCATTCCCTTGTAAGCTCGCATTTCGGCATCCTTGCAAAAGCGGCACTGTGCCTTGCTGCATCCTTACTAGTTTAGCAACAAGGAAGCTCGTACACAGCTCGTCATGGCATACCCTAAATAGGCGTCAACGAAACACCAGGCTGACACCCAGCTGGATAATTTCTAGATAGCTTTGTGTATGTCAACCTGCTATGAGATTGAATCTACGCTAAGACAGCCTCTTGCTTCAGGTTAGTACTCCTCTTGGGGGGAAGGTGGGAAAGGGGGGGAGGGGGTACTAACCTCAAGGACGAATACGGCAGTGCTCCAAAGCAGTGGAAGAAATGGTGCATAAAAAGTCAAACACTGCGAAGCCACAAGAATAAGTCTTTTTTCACAAATCAAAATGTCCACTAAATCTATGGGATTCTTAATCAACTACTGATTCATAGGAACTGAATTTTCCAGCTTCGTTGTCTTTGCTCTGTCATTTCGAATGTGCTCCACGGAAACGGAACCATGTAGTGGGGTGATCCAGAACATCAAAAATGGACATTGCTACAGGGTGAGTAAAGTCAAGCATACATAAGATAGACTAATATGCAGTAGAGTAGATTTGTATTATTCTGTGACTAATAAACTCGGAACCGCTTTGCACATATTGTCTACAGCTTGAACTTGTTTCTTCTGGCAATGTAGCAAAAAATTCCAGATGCCCTTTGATTCAGATGGCTTAGGGGCTGGAAGGCGGGCCTTCGTGAGCTAATTGAGGCCAGTTAAAGGCAGCGTCCACCCAGAATTTGGCCTCCCATGTTTTCGTCATTCTGAGGCCTTTCCGTGGCCCTGATTACAGTTCCGAACTTCAAACTTTCCAAGATTCACAAAAAACCCGATTCTTGGGGACCCTATCTTGAGGGCGCGGACGAGTTTCGGACTGCTCGTCCCCGTCGGCATGCCAGCGGGGAGGAGCTGCAACTCCATGGGTGCAGTTGCAGCAGTGAACAGCTTCTGCTCACTACCACGTTAATACGTGTCAGGAGGCATCCCTGGCTGGGCGGAGTCTGATATCAGACTCCGCCCAGCCAGGAACTTCCAGGCCCCTTATCTCCATTCAGAGACAACGTTAGAAGACCGGACCAACGCAGATGCCCCTTTTCTGGGGCCTACATTCAGGATCGACACTAATCGAAGGGGGTTAGGTTTAGCCTGGACACTGCCTTTAATGATCAGAGAGCACGCGCCGTGAGAGACTCATATTGCGTCGCGCGCGCGAGCGGCCTCAATTAGGTAATACAGCCCTGCCTTTTAGCCGCCAAGCCAGTTGAAATAAAGGTTAGATACATCACAAATATAAAGTTGTTAAAGGCAGCGTCCCATTAGACTGAGGGGTACCTGGCTCTGGTAGTAATGTAATAGTGGACCCCCTAACTAAGCGACTTCAGAAGTTGCAGCGCGAAAGGGGGGTCTACGAAGTCTACAAATCGTCCCTCAAGTAGCCAAGATCTTACGGTAGACTCGGACGAGTACAAAATGCATGCGAGGTACAGACGCAGAGCTGGGGGACCCTGCGCTCATGACTGTGTGCGCTATGCGTGCTTTGGCCTTGCATTTCGAAATCGCTGGTGTGCGGCGTCCGGCCCTACCGTAAGATCCGGGCCACTTTCGAGGCAAATTTCAGGCTTGGTGGACCCCTCTTTTTCGCTTCGATTCAATCATCGTTTCGGTAGGGGGTCTACTTTAACATCGCCACAAAATCCCGGCACCTACTTTTTGCCGGGACGCTGCCTTTAACAATCTCGTTTTGGCAATGTCTGTAAAGCTGTTTCTCTCATGAAGGGAACGAAGGTTGGCCGAAGTGGCCTCTTGAAGTGAAATGTACACTGTCTTGTAGAGCTTGGAACGCTGATTCCAAATCTGCCTTCGCTATCTGCTGCGGGCTTTTGGACGATGATTTATGAATGTTTATGTGGGTAATAAGTTAATTGCAAATTAGTGTAAAATCAAACGTACCTTTTTTTTTAAAGCTCAACCAGTAGTCAGGTCACTGGGTGCAAGGAATATTCTTGTTTCAAATATTTCAACTCGCTGCACCCCATTGGAACATCAGGAAAAGGTTACGACTGATTTCTATACTAACCTTGTATTTGCATTTTTATTCGCAAAAACCTTCATAACTCCTCGCCCAGAAGCCCGTTGGAATCAGCGTTCCAAGCTCTACAAGACAGTGTACATCTCATTCTAACAGGCCACTTCGACCAATCTCCTTTCCCGTTAGTCACAAAATGAATTACGCTTTTTGATACTCCATTAGTTGAACCAAGAAATGAAAATGGTGTCCTGCTGAAACTTCATCTAAGGCCCCGGGCAGACTTCACGCGATTTGATCGTCGCGACTGAATCGCGACGAGACAACTGTTACAACATCATTCCATGCCGATCAACTTGCATTCGGTTGTGATACTTTTCCAGCCCGAAATTTTGGAATGTGAAATGAAAATGAATGGAAATCTTGGCTATTAGATCGCGACGATTAAGTCGCGTGAAGTCTGTCCGGGGCCTAAGGGGTTATTTCGCACACTCATTACGAATACCACACTAATTTCGCACGGTACTGCCATCCGGTGGAGTTACGGTAGGAGATCAAAACCAAGGATTTGCGCCAAACTTCGTCTGGGGGGGGGGGGGCTGGCACGCTAAACATGAAATCATATTCACTTCATACAGTAGCGCCATCTTTTCGTGTTACGGTGCGTATACGGTAGAAGGCTAAAAATACTGGATTTGAAAATTTTGCCTAGAAGGGTTCCTAAGCACTTTGATCACGAATATCATGCTCTTTCTGCTATTTGAAATATTTTTCGAGGAAGTACAATATGTACCTTAGATTGCTAAAATGAAGATCTGCCCGAATGTGTTGATCACGTATATATATCGCACTCGTCTCTTACGATAAAGCTTTCGTAGATTTTTGGGATTTGATTTTGGCTGAAAAGAGGAAAAGTTGCTCTTTCACCACTGTAGCTCATCCTAACTCTAACAGTAAAGGAGTGTTGCAGCGAACGAGGATGATATTTGCAATCAACATGCTTAAGAACCCCTTCGGGCAAAGTTTTGGAATTCGAGATTCTTATCCATCAACCGTATCCCCACCACAACCCAAAGAATGGAGCTACCATACGAAATGAATATGATATTCATGTTCAGCTTGCCAAATAAATAATTTCCCTAGGCGAAGTTTGGGGCAAATCCGTGATTTGACTACTACCGTAATCCTGCCGTAGCTTCACCATATGGCACTACCGTCCTGAATGATTGTGATATTCGTAATTAGTGTGCAAAACAACTCCCATAGACGAAGTTTTAGCGAGATCCGCAATCATCTTTTCGGTCAACAAACGTAAAATAGCGCCGCTTTTTTTGAATTTAATTAGTAATTTTTAGCGCTTTTGTGATCACAAAACCTTTGAAGATGCTAACAAAACATGCTTTAATCTCGGAGGTTATTTGCCTATGGTTCGAAACAGTTATGAAGACAAGTTCCTTGCAAGTAAGTTGAGGGTTGCACACATACTACAGGTAAACTGTTAAAGTTTTGCAGAGATGTATGGATGAGCCCCCCACTAGATCGAATGTTGAAAAGGATTAGCATAGCATGATTTTACTGAAATCGCATGAAGTCATCAAGATGTTCGCATGAGTAGTCTGCGTCGACTTTGAACTAACTCGTAGAGGATGTCAAATGGCATCGGTCTTCCGACATCGTGCCTATAGTAATCAGCGGTATCACGGTGTGAGGCTCGCGGAGTTTGCTATATGTCCATTCCATATGCGACAGCGTAGCATACGGGAACAGCACCGATCCCGAGTAAGACATCCTATATCGCAGATTCGTTGGATGCGGTACCCTGGCAGCTAGAATGAGGCGTCATCTCATGTTTTTGAGTGGTCATGAGCTTTCTGGATGATTAGCATTCGCCCAAAGCGCATCTCAGTTCCCGCATTCCGGAAAGTCACTCGCACCTTAGCATGGCGAATAAAAAACGGAAATCACGAACAACTTTGAAGCTGAAAATTTAGTATTGAAAGATGTTCAGTCGAAGTAAAAACCTATAATCAGGAAACTTTGAGAGTGCCTTCCAAGTATGCCTGAGAGGCTACATTGACGCGAATGGTGACTATGAAACGATTCTGAAACAAATTTGAGTCAAACAATTCAGCATCAAAAGATCCAACTCATAAAAAAAGGGCACGAGCTGCCAGCGTACCTAAGGCATGGACCGGACATCACGGCGGAGCAGCACGCGCCGCGAGATAAACGCTTGCTCCAGTACAAAACTCGCTAATGTACAAATCGCCTCTCGCAACATTTCAGCCGCGCCGCGCCTGGTCCGCAACATTTGAGCAGTCCGTGCGGTCAACGAATCGACGATACTTTGAAATATTCGAGATTTTTTTTCGAATAAACAAAAACAAATAATCGAGACTTGAAAAACAAAATCATCGAATAATCGAATGTCGAGTTTGCGAAATCAAAAGGCCGACTGATCAAATATCAATTATTTTCTTTACAAGGGAACGATACTTGGTGTCCGTGGCCTTTCAAGATGATATGTATAGCATTAGACTCGTCTTGAAGCCCTGATTCCGAATCTGACTTCCTTTTTTGCTAATCTTTTCTCTCAAAAGATTATGAACGATTTTCGCGCTAAGGGAACTATGGTGGGAATGCAAAACTGACGCCAGGATGTGGTATAGTGGCTAGTTCGATAGCCTCACAACTTAATGCGGTTTAGGTTCGAGTCCTTTGTGCTTTTCAGTTTTGCATTGCCTCAATCAAGCTTCTTTTGAAGGTAAAGTTAGGCCTCCTCGACCGTATTTCCCTTGGGCGGTTATTGAGGCGAAAATCCATCATAACTTCCTCTGAAGAAACGGTCAGCAGAAACGGAAGTCAGTTTCGGAATCAGCGCTCCAAGGCGAGTGCATTAGTGTACAGCTCATCTCAAAAGGCCACGGACACCAAGTACCGTTTTTTTTTTGTTAGAGTCGATCAGTCGATAGCTCCAAAAACAAAGAAATATCGAACTTCAGTCTATTCGAGGGAAAAATTTGCAGTTAAGTACTTACCTGCTGTATCGATTATTTGAACAAAACTCATCGAAGCACAATGAAGCACTCCTTGTAGCATGGAACATACGAGGGAATACCAAGTTACACTTGCAAACAGAAAAGAGACGTATATCACTCTTAGACAATCGGTGCCATAGCTCCGGAGGACAGTCGAATTCTGGCAGAGCTGCGGAGGGACCAATTGACCATTGAGAGCGGGGCGAGGGGGCGGTCCCTTTCTGTGACGTCACGGTGATGTCACAAGAACGCGATGAAACCCCTCCGGCGGGCTTGCAAACCTCTGCTCCGGAGGTACGCCAGATTTAGGAGAGCCCCGGAGCACAGATTTGCGCTCCGGAGATACGCCAGATTTGGGAAACCTCCGGAGCACAAAATGGGAGATCTCCGAATCACAAATGGGAGATCTCCGAAGCACAAAATGGGAGGGCTCCGGAGCACAAATGGGAGGGCTCCGGAGCACAAAATGGGAGGGCTACGGAGCACGAGTGGCAAACCCCCGCTGGGCAGACCCCGCGGCCCTGCCATTTCTGCTCCGGAGGTATCCCTTCGTCTGAGCTAGAATCATCAAAACTAACTCCTTTTAAGTGGCATAAGATTAGCGAAACCCACAGAACACCTCTACGGATTTCGCTGTATTGTTACTTGTAATCATATGTACATGTCCCCACCTGCACCCAAACACTGACTTAGGGCCGCATGCACTAACCTCCCCGCTGGGGAGGGAATTGCAGCTTAAAAGAAAGCTTCATCTGAAGCTCCAGATATCTGGATTTCATGTTGTGTACCTACCCGTAAGTATTCCTACTACCCTTCATGAACATGTTGAACAGGAGCGAGAAGCTGTACGAACCGCATTTTCCAGCTTTTGTATGATCCCTGATGATCCCCGGCGCTTTTTTTAGAGTCATTTTTCTTTCTCCGAAGTTAACGAAAACCTTCCAAAGTTGTACTGAACATCTAACACAACAGTGCTAAGCATGTTGCTGATGAGAACAAATGAGTTTTTGAAAAGTCGAATTTTTCGGTAAACCTCAAATTTCGACCTGTGGATCATCGCAAATTACATGATTCCAAAACATCATTTGTTCTTATCAGCAACATGCTTAGCACTGTCGGGTCGGATATTCTGCACAACTTTGGAGGTTTTTCGTTAACTTCGGAGAAAGAAAAATTACTCAAAAGAAAAGCGCCGGAGATTATCAGGGATCATACAAAAGCTGGAAAATGCGGTTCGTACAGCTTCTCGCTCCTCTTTAACATGTTCATAGTGAAGGGTAGTAGGAATACTTACGGATAGGTACTATACTTGGGTAATTCGAGAATTTTTCATCGAATGAATGAATCTTATATATAAAGCTGAATGTCTGTTTGTATGTCTGTCTGTATGTCTGTCTGTATGTCTGTCTGTATGTATGTATGTATGTACGTATGTTCCGAATAGAAAATTCCATTTCTGAACCGATCCGGACCAAACTTGGCACACATACGCTACGGGCCCCGGCGGGTGTCATAGGCTACTTTTCGTCATCGATCGATATCGATTTTATCGATTTTTATCGATTTTTTTGCTGAGTTCACCTACGGGGCTGGGAGTTGGCACAGGGGGGTAATCGAGCATGGGGATTCCGAATACAATATTGGTTTTCAGGATTATCGATTACTTTTATCGATTTTATCGATTTTTTTGCAAAGTTTGAGCTACGGGGCTGGGAGTTCGCACAGGGGGGTAATCGAGCATGGGGATTCCGAATACGATATTGGTTTTCAGGATTATCGATTACTTTTATCGATTTTATCGATTTTTTTGCAAAGTTTGAGCTACGGGGCTGGGAGTTCGCGCAGGGGGGTAATCGAGCATGGGGATTCCGAATACAATATTGGTTTTCGGGATTATCGATTACTTTTATCGATTTTATCGATTTTTTGCAAAATTTGAGCTAGGGGGCTGGGAGTTGGCACAGGGGGGTAATCGAGCATGCTGATCATCCCCAAGGGGGTGATCAGCATGCTCGATTACACCCCTGTGCCAAATTCCAGCCCCCTAGCTCAAATTTTGCAAAATCGATAAAATCGATAGAAGTAATGGATAATTCCAAAAACTAATATTGTATTCGTAATCTGCATGCTCGATTACCCCCCTGTGCAAACTCCCAGCCCCGCAGGTCAAACTTTACAAAAAAATTGATAAAATCGATAAAAGTAATGGACGATCCTGAAAACTAATATTGTGTTCGTAATCAGCATGCTCGATTACCCCCCTGTGCAAAATCCCAGCCTCGCATGTCAAAATTTACAAAAAATCGATAAAATCGATAAAAGTAATCGATAATCCTGAAAACCAATATTGTATTCGGAATCCCCATGCTCACTTCCCCCCTGTGCCAACTCCTAGCCCTGTAGGTGAACTCTGCGAAAAAATCGATAAAAATCGGTAAGATCGACATCGATCGATAACGAAAAGTGGACTGTGACACGCGCCGGGGCCCGAAGTGTATGTGTGCCAAGTTTGGTCCGGATACGGCGGAGCCGGGTAAGCCAGCTAGTATCGAATAAATTCGAAAAGGAAAAATTTCGAATAAACGAATATCGAATAAATTCGGAAAATCAAAAATATCGAATGAATGAATTTCGAATAAATTCGGAAAATCAAAAATATCGAATGAATGAATATCGAATATATTCGAACATTGAAAGTCGAATTTCGAATAAATATTCGAATGATTTATCGATTAACTGAAGCAATCACATCTCAAACTTTCCGACATATCTGGCTAGAGCCGATCCAATCATAATCAGCCCCTAGTATCCCCTATACCAACTCCTAGCTCAAAATTTTCCAAAAATTGCTGAAATCGATAAAATAGATTTCGGTTTCAATCAGCATCCTCGTTTACCCCCTATACTAACTCCCAAGCTCGTAGGTCGAGATTTTCCAAAAATCGATAAACATAATCAGCACCCTCACTTACCCCCTTGTACCAACTCTCAGCCCCGCAGCTCAAACTTCCCCAAAAATCGATAAAGTCGGTCGGTCGGCATTTAGTCTATAAATCAGCAAAAAGTCATATTTTACCCATTATGGACGATCTAAAAAGCAGTCGATATAAATTTTTATGCTGTGCCCAAAAGATTCTTCTTCAGATGGTCTGAAAGAGACTGATGTACACCAGAATTAACTTTATTTCTTATCAGCACAACAATGTAAAAGCAAAGGGCTTGCTCTACTTTCTACATCAATTAAAATCCACATATGATTTTTTTACTGTCGCAAGCAGTCGGAAGAATGCTACTCTCCATACAGTTCAATGGTATAACGGTTGCAAAAGATGCATTACCGAATTTTGCGAAAAAAAAAACGCGGACGAACTGAGCTTGATACTCAGCAGTTGGCTTTGAAACAAAGTCGAATAATCTGAATAC